GTCTTATGCCTGTAGTCAGCATAAGGAAAACTGTGAGTCTTTGGAGAGTAGTAAAGGGGAGAAGTCACATAGTTTTGACTTCAAATTTCTCCAGTGCAGGATGCCAGATTGTATATTATCAAAAGCAAATAAACAATGTGCCAAAATGTATTTTGCTGTAGAATTGAACAGATACAATAAGAATGAACTTTTTTCTTATACTCCACTAAAACAATGGCAGCAAAATTTTCTTTAGTGAAGTATAAGGAAAGAAAAGTTCCTTATTATATCTATTCAATTCTTTTTTTTAGTAGGCAAAATCATGGAGTCATATCAAAGCATATTGACAGAAGAGTTTGGTAAGACTTCCCATACATTTATACTACAACATTCTCTATAGTTGACTTTCTGATTTAGGTCTAGAGACTAGCAGCAAGGGAGAATCTGTTATCCGACTAGATCAGTTCCATTATAATATTACCATCAATAAGTTTCTTTCAGTGTTGAAATTAAAGTTCAATTGAAGTCATTGTAACTTAAGCCTTAAATAACATCTAAATATAACCCAGCAACAGATAAAAATATATTTGCTTGACCATCCTTTGTGTATTTGTAGAGTTCTGTCATGTCCTTATGACTTAGTATGGTATAGTGGTTTGATTGCTGGATTATGACTCCAGGAAACCAGGGTTCAAATCCCTGCTTGGTCATGGAAATTATCTGGGTAACTTTGGGCAAGTTAAACTGTTTTAAATTCAGAGCAAGTCAATGGTAAACCTCCCTCTGAATAAATCTTGTCAAGAAAATTTCCTGGAAGGGTCACTTTAGCGTTGCCATGAGTTGGAAACAATTTAAAACACACAACAAATTATATTCTGCTTCAGTCTTTTCTGGTCCTTCCTGTATCTTCATTTCTTCATCTTCGGAGGATATAATGGTTTTAGTAAGACCACTGTGGAACCAGAGGAGAAAGGTCAACAGATAATCCACTAAACTTTGCAGGTCCAAAAGGGAACAAATGTGTTTCTGTGCTTCCAGTTTACTTCCTTATGTTTATCAGAAAAGAATTCTTCAACAATTAAAAGGAACGATCTTTTCTTTGTTTTGGACTTGATTGCATATGTGCCTGTAGGGGTTAGCTAACGAATTTTGCCACAGGAAATGTCTTATGCTAGGCACCAAATGCTCACATCAATATTTGCTTTTCAAATTCATTTTTAAATATTTTCCCTGGCTTGTTTTCAGTCCACGATGGAGAGATTGGCTGTGTCTACATGGGCCAAATAAACTGCTGCAAAGGAGTCCACAGGACATCCGGCTGGATTTTCAGCAGAAGCATGGCTTCCAGTTGTTAATCTAGAACAAGAGAAAATGGAATTTACTTTAGAGCTTCCTGGAAGCTCTGGAGTGATCATGCAGTTTTTGATATGTGGACTGGTGGATCCATCTGCATCTTGCCTGATCCATTGTCCACATATCTAACCACATATCACCACTGTGTTGCCAGCCACAAGCGCTCCCTTGAAGGAGCTTGCTAGAAACGTTGCTTCTGATGGGGTCACAACAGGGAATCCAGAAGTGTGATCAGCAGAAGTAATGTCAGCACCAATCCTCTTTAGGGAAACAATTTTTGGCCAGTGACATAGCAGTGGTGGCCCCAATGCATTCCCTGCTTTATCAGCCATTTTAACACCAAAAGGACTTTAAGGATGCTTCTGTGCAGCATTGTTGCAGCTCCAGAACACAATACTCTGGATTATTTGGGTAAATGTAGATGCAGCCATTGATGTACTCCATTTGTATCTAGTTTACAGTCCACAGGAATATATGTATGTCTGTAGCCACCCCACTTTAACAGTTGTGCTAAAGAGGCAAAAACAAATCCAACTGTCAACTTTGGTCTGGCCTGCTGAGGTTGACAGACAAAATACTGCCAAGCCACTGCTGAGATTTTGGAAATGTTTGAATAAGAATGTCTACACCAGCTGTTTTTAGTGTGATGTATATCGGAATACTACACAGTGAACAGCTTGTGTAATCTGTGTCTCATTACATGCCAACAAGCCAGTATAAAATTGCTCTGTAAGGTAATCCATAATTAGGATCTGAAATGCCAATAAATTATAGATTTGCACACCAGCACCAATTTCTCCTATACCAGTATACTTTGCCTTTTTAATAGCCATTAGATTTCTGTCTCTGTGCCATAGCAAAATCTGTATGCTCCACCTTTCTTGGATAGAGTGGGGTTGTGATTGAGTACATGCTTTCTTTGGTGTCTCCTGCCAAAAGCTTGGAGAGCTATGGTCAATCAGAGAAGACAGTACTGGGCAAACAGAGTGTCCTGGAGTAAAGCAGTTCCTCTGTTCTTCAATTAAACTGTTTCCCAGGCTATTAGCTCTATCCTGATTAGCTCTTGGGAAAATTCTTGTTTTAGTTTTGCTTTCTTTCTTTGCCTTGGCAAATGACAGCCTGGCTACAGAATCTATGACTGCTTCTGAAAAGCACCTGGGAGGGTCAACTTCTGCATAATGTAGCAGTGTGATTATTAATTGCTGCCGACCGTTGTGAACATACTATGACCAATGACATATCATGTCAAACATATTGCTTGGCATTGCAGGATTCTTTCCTCCAATGCCAAGCAATAGTGGGAGGACTTGACAGTATTAGGATTCAGACTGATGTGGGATGGAGGTTTTGTTCAATGTTTTCCTCCTGCACTGCTGTCTTGCTACTTATCAAAAAGATATATGCCACTTACTCAACATCTAACTTTGAAGACATTATGCACCATGAGTTACCAAAGTGATCTTCAGGCTTACATATTCTGCCCCATTGTTGAATTGAGGGTTGAATGAAAAGTAATGCTTCCACCTTCGTTACTTGGGTTTGGGTGGGGATATTTTAATAAATCAAATGCAGAAATAATCCTTAGAATGTGCTCTTTAACTACCGCTATTCACTTTTCCACATAATCACCAAACAATTGGATGCATTTCTGCCAACGATGAACACGTTTTCTGAAGCTGTCGCGGAAGAAGTCGACACTCTGTTTCCACAACCAGCATCTCACAGTTCTCTCAAAGTTTTCATCAGAAGCATACTGATGTCCCTACAGATCTTTTCATTATTGGGAACAGATAGAAGTGAGACGGTGCTAAATCTGGACTTTATGGAGGATGTCGTATGGTGGTGTCTCTGAAATTCTGCTGTGGTGGCCTGTGAAGTGTGTGGTCTGGCATGGTCATGCTGCGGGAAAACATTTCCCTTTTCCTTTTGGACCCTTGTTAGCCGTCGTTTCAAAGTTTGCAGCATTGTGATGCAAGTCAGATGTTCCCACCTCAACATCTTTAAACTTACTTGCCCGACGATGCACCGTACTCACATCAACACAATCACCACAAACAGCTTGCATTCTCTGATGAACCTCCTTTGGGGTGATACCTTCTGCTGTCAAGAATTCAATGACTGCATGTTGCTTAAGTCACATTGACCGACCGTCTGTGCAGGATTCAATACTTCACATTTTAAGAACACAACCATTCAATACTAAGGCTTCCCATCAAAATGGAACTGTAAAGGAGAGTCTGCTGAACAAGCCAGTACCTCCGACATATCATTACTGCCATCTGTTGAGGAGTTACAAAGGTGGAGGCATTACTTTTCATTCAACCCTCGCATCTTCTTTTGAGAACAGTATATATACATTGGTGTATATGGACCTATCTCAATGAATATTTGTTTGTTGTACATTGCAAGAGGGTGCAGAACTCCAAGGCTTATTGCTACCTGTGTACAACTTCCAACTTAGGACAGATTCACATAGGAGATCACACACATAATGTATCAAATCATGTGTCACTGCATGATAACTTAAAATCACAGTTCTGCTGTTACCTACATTCTATTGAAAAGGAAGCATTAGATAGTTTTCTTTCCCTGGTTTAGGTCATTATGTGCTGTCCAGAGGAATAATATCTTTCATACTTATTATTTTGCCTGAGGCTGAACTTAGTTGGAAGCAACCAGCATTGTATCCTTGATGGCATAGACCCAGACACCATGTTATGGTAGAATTGATCAATTATGGAGCATAATGCTGGGAGCTGAAAGGTCTGGTTGTCCTTAAGGAAGCACAAGTAAAAAAATCTACATACCAGTAATCCCGTCACTGAGTATGAGTAAGAGTCTGAATGCAAAGCCTTAGAAGTATGGAACTATCTCTCCAAGGACCTTATCACATGGGAGCCCAGAAGCATGGGGTCAGTGTGGGAAACCCTGGGTGAGGACATGGATGGTCACCCGTATCCTCAGGGCTCCTTCTTAGCACACTGCTGGTACAATGCCAGCACACTGCTGGGGCAGAGCCCAACAGAGCCCCGCTGGAAGTAGCTTTGCTTCATATGATGGGCTCTGGGAAACTGCCCTGGCAGCTAGGATGGGGAAAACTCACACACAATTTCACAATTTCATATTTAAGTCAGTCTTTGATTTAACTTTATAATTTTCTCTGTGTCATGTGTGTATATTAGGTCATGACTTCATTATGACTAGTTCATATTTTTTTACCCATCCTTCCATGTCACCCTGTTTTGTCTAGTCCATCATTTTTTATCATACTAGGGTATGCACATTCTCATATCATTTTTGCTTATGAAAAATGTTATAATTATTAATAAAAATGTAAGATAATTTAGAAATCAAATTAACCACCCAGAAGAAAGGAAGACAGGGCTTTTTCTGTGGTGGTACTGCGACTCTGGAATGCTATCTCAATGAAAAAATGGGTTTCCTCTATTCTCAGAAATCAAAAGTTTGACTTTGTTTTGTCTGTACATCTATGTTATAAAATTCTATGACTGTGTTTTACATTGCTCTAATATGTTTTCAGTAGAAGAGCAGGACATAATTCAAAATCATTCATTTAAGTAGCTAATAAATAGTCATGTACTACATATGATAAAGTAAATAGATATATAGTATAATTAACCATTTTCTTCTATTCTTACACTCCCTAGGGCCTGATCACCAAGAAGTGAGGAGTTGGATCATTTTTCTTTGCACCATGCAGATTGACTTTGATTTTTCTGTCCATGAATTCAAGTGTTTTATGAGTTCCCTGCTACCCATAACTTGCTACCATCACCATTGCTTCTGAGAAATCACCATTTGGAGGCAAGGGATTGAATCTGTCTACAGGAGAACAGCTGGGGTCAACAACCCAGGCTATAGGTGGAAAGCTTCCCCTCTCAAAATACTTCACCGGGAGAATTCTCAGTCCTTTCCTTCTCTTCATAGGATAAAGGCCTCTGGATCCTAAAGGATAGCTGAGATCTTTCCTTGCAAAGAAGAATATTCCTATCTAGTTTTACTTTCTCTCTTGAGGAACCGACTGGCTGTAGTGCCTATTACCAGAGCCAACCTCTCTCTAGTAGTTGGCATTATTATTTTTCTTCCCAAGCAAATCAGATTTTTTTAAAAAATGGGCTTTACCCTCCACTCTGCCTCTTTCACCCTGAAGGTGAGCTTATTGTTGGGCTCCTTGTTCAGCCTCTGTCTTGGACTAGAGTTTATGGGCCTCCCCAATCAGTGGGCCCGTTACTTTCGCTGGGATGCAAGCACCAGGAGCGACCTCAGCTTCCAGCTGAAGACAAATGTCTCAGCTGGGCTACTCCTCTACTTTGATGATGGTGGTGTCTGTGATTTCCTGTGCTTGTCTCTAGTGGATGGGCGTATTCAACTCCGGTTCAGTGTGGATTGTGCTGAGGCCACTGTTGTTACAGACAAGCAGGTCAATGACAGCAACCTACACTTCTTGATGGTCAGTCGCAACCATCTCCGGACAGTTCTTGTGTTGGATGGTGAAGCCAAGCCAGGTGAAGTGCGCCCACAGAGACAGTACATGAACATTGTTAGTGACCTCTTTTTGGGAGGTGTCCCATCAGACATCCGTTCAGCGGCCTTGACCCTTGACAGTGTCCTGAGTGAGCCACCATTTAAAGGATTTATCTTGGACCTGAAGTATGGCACTTCAGAACCTCAACTACTGGGCCACCAAGGAGTCCGTCTGGACATGGAAGGACTATGCACAGAAAACCCTTGTGAAAATGGTGGAACTTGCTTCCTTCTGGATGGCGAACCACAGTGTGATTGCTCAGATACTGGATATGTTGGAAAACTTTGTTCTGAAGGTAAGACTGCATTCATTCTTTCTTTGGATTCTTCAGCACAATATTGCTTATTACTTGTAATTCACCACATGTATTTGTTTGAATGTTAATGTTTCATAAAGTCTAAAGTTTTTCAGAGGAAAACACTACCAGAATACTGTAAGAACTGTCAATGTACAACACAACTTTTTGCTACATATTTATAACTTGATTATTAGATACTCTGATGTATTCTGTAGTGTTTGGTAGGTCTAGAATTCATAATTCATCATTGCTTGATCCTTGTACTGTCCTGTTTTTTGAAATAATAAAAAAGGATCAATGGAAATATGGATGCTCACATTCCAACTCCAGCTGAGGTATGTTATAAAAAGCCAGGAGCAGAGGCTGGATTCTTTTGACTGCTTTATGTGTCCATGGAGAAAGTAAGTATGTACCAGCATGGGGTTTATACAACCTAAGTACTTTGCTGAAATTTTCCTGGCCACAGTTTTCTCAGTAACATTTAGTTGTGCCCTTGGTGGTTGCTCTCATCCACTTCAAGATGATGTAACAACTATATTTTCTTGAGTTGTTCAAGAAAACCAAAGTGCAATATCTCATTTTATTGTTAATGTATATGTTATATATTCTGAGATGGGAATATACATTTGTCAGACAGAAAGACAGCAGTACAGGTCTATTTTTTTTAAAAAAAATAATCTTATTGATTTTCCTGTTCAGTCATCCTTTGATATAGAATGTTTAGAGGAAGGGGGAAATAAAGAAAAAAATCTTCTTCCTTTGCACCATTATGCCTAACATGAGGCAGTGTTAAAGGGCAAGGAAACTTGTCAATTTATGAAACAAATATTAAAAAAAATATTTGACTGGTTTGCTTCTGGTATTTAAGGATTTTGATTGTCTGTTTAAAATGATTTGATTTGTCTTCATCCACCTCCAGGTTTTATGTTCAATTTTCACTGATGGCTCAGTCCTATATGTGAGGTATTTCTTTCCGTTATGAACCATGGCTATAGTCTCAACTTTGATTATGAAACACACCAGACCAAAAGCAAGGAAAAGGGTTTCACATAAACTCAAAGAAATGTACATAATAGCATTTGGAGTAGTTTTGAGTGTGAGAGATAGAGGGGAAAGAAAACATGAATGGAATTATTGTTTGGTTGGGCTAATAAATTTGTTTCTGATGTAATAATTCACATTTGTTCTAGCTGGATGAAAACCCAGATTAACCTTCTAACTTTCGGATAAATTGTGTTTTCTCTATCCCTGTCCCTATTTGCCTTTTGCACTATAGGAATGTATTTTCTTCTATTTGGTGTGATAATAAATACATTTCTTTATTTTTAAAGATGGCTTTCCTTTTCAGCAGGACCCCTCCCTCAGCAATCTATGGATCATTAACCGGTTTTGCACCATTTGCTATCCTTTGGGTTTCTGAGGTGGCTTGCAGTTGGCCACTGGCTTTTGCTGGGAGCTAATGGGGCCTAATCAATACCTCCTGTTTTAATGACTAAATGTAGTGTGTATTTTTTTAAATAATGAATTCTCTCAACAGAGTTCAGGCCATTACTTGGCTATTGATTGATATCTGTGTCTGCAGATGGCAAACCCACAACAAGCTCATTTCTTCAGTGGGCTGAGATAAGACATATAAATAAATATTTAGCTGACCCTGCTTATAGTGAAGTTCCATTTACAGTATTAATGTGAACTGCACTTTCAGTTAGTAAACTTCAGTGCATTGTGAAATATCCTACAGAAAAGCACCGGGAAAGCTTACGAAGTAAATCGCATGCACTGGCATTTTCAGAGATCTTTACCTTTTAAAGACAAACAATAGCAACAACTTAAGAGTACAATAATCAGAAAATATATTTTATGAGGGGTAGTTGAATCTTGATGGGTTTTGGAATGACACCTGGAAAATGTTTTCTTGTGCTTTCTCTCCAAATCTTCCTTTCCCCTTTCATCCAGCCTAATTGATTGTCTAGATTCTAGACTCTAGAAGGAGAGTGAAAGGTAGTGATGACTGTTTGCTGCCCTCCAGAGCTTACAAAGTTATTTATGGGGTGGAGGTCAGAGGTCCAAAATCTCACAGTCAGCATAACCAGCCCTGCTATCATCACTATCTACTCAGTTCTGAACCTGTTGGAACTGCTGACCTGCATAAAATGTAAAGAACATTGGTAGGCTATTCATGCATGACTGGCTGACTCTTCTGTCTTTTTCAATGAATTTGGGAGATTTAGCCTCCATTACAGATATGTAGGCTTCTTTACACTATTGTTATTATTTCTGTATAACCCACTTTTTCCCCAGTGCCTTTTCTCAAGCAACTGCCAAAGATTAAAACAGGTACAATATAAATTTGATATTGATTAGTTTAAAAAGAATTAATTTTAATAAAAGTTAAAATATGAGCTAACAACAGAATTACAAATAATTTAAAAATATATCTATTAAAAAGAAGGAAAAGAGGGTTGCACAGGTATTAACATTCCTTCCCCTAAAAGCATTTAGTTTTCAAAAACCCATCAAAACAAAAAAAGTCTTTATCTACTGCCTGAAAAGTTGTTTAGACTGAGTCCCAACTGGGAATGTATAGCCCTTTCACATAGGTGCAAATAATAATGGCAGTTTTCTCCCCTGTGTACAAGAAAAACTAATATTCCTGCATTGTGTTCTCCCTACAGTCAAATGACCTGGAGTATTGTTGAGAAATTAATCTATGTAGAAAAACACAAGCATGGGTATGTCTCTCCCATCCATGAAATTTGTTTTCTATACAGAAAACATAATTTTCTGTTCAGGAAACTGATTTTTCTATGCAGAATAATTCCTATCAAGACTTTCAAAGAAAATTGTGCAAGATATACTAGTGGTTTAGCATACTTTCTGACAAAGTTTTAACCAAAGAACATAATATGACTGTTTTTTTCCATAGCAAGTACCAATTATATAGACTGTAGAAGACACAAGGAACCAAATGTGGTATAATTTAACCCTTTGGTAAATCCCATAATTTCATTGGCTTCACTCTTGTTGAAACTAGGAGTAGTATTTAGACTTGAGATGATGAAATATAATATGATGAAAGTTCATTCTTTTGCTTAATTGTGAGGATCATATTTACGCCAAATGGTTCTGTCAGCTTCTCCAGATCATTTTTTAAAAGATATTTTCCAGTGGGAAAGCTACTTCTTCTGATGCCAAAGTGGACATGTGTATCAGGCATGGAAACTCATGGTCTCCAAACGTTGTTAGACTGCTACTCCCATTATTCATTACCAATTGATATGCTGCTTAGAATAGATGGGTATTACAGTCTAACATTTGGAGTACTATGCATTGTGCACCTTGTGTTTCAGATTTTGTACTTTAAGAGTAAACACAGTCATACACGGTTGAATATAACATGCAGACTTTTTTCCAGTCTGTTTGTGTCTAATGTATAAACAATATTGTTACACCTGTTATATTCTATAATACCATCTAGCAGATCCAGAGCTTGGTAAATTTACTTTTGGACTGTATGTCTAAGAATTCCACAACCAATGTGTTGGCTGAACTGTATTCTAAGATCTGAATGGACCACCTGCTATAGTCCTTCCCATGGTCCAATTTTAATCGTTATAGCCACATGGCCATCATAAAAATTGTTACTTGGAAAGTGTCTACTGATTCTTCTACCAGATCAGCATACTTATTTCATTTTAAGAAAAATATGGATAACTTAGAATGTTTCCAGAAGAGGGGTCCTTCCACAGTACGCAATTTTAGCACTGGGATTCTATTTTAAACTGCCACAATTGCATGCTGTGGAATCTTGGAGTATGTTGTCTGAGACATTATAAACTCCATGGCAGAAAATTTTGAAGTACTTTCCCTAAATTGCAGATTCTAGGATTCCATGGGTAGAGACATACAGTTAAGGTGGAATCATACTACAATTGTGTAGCAAAAGAGGCCCAAGATGCTAAAAAATCTCAAAATCAAGTTCTGTGGGAACTAGTCCTGTGGAAATCTTTAGCCTGGAAAAGGAAAGATTGAGAGGTGATGTGACAGCAATCTGCTAATATCAGAAGGAAAACAGAATGTTGGTGGGCAGGAAAAGAGATTTAAAAATGGGCTCAAAGCCAACCTTAAAAACTCTGGCATAGACACTGAGAACTGGAAAACCCTGGCCTTTGAATGCTCCAGTTGGAGGTCAGATGTGACCAGCAGTGCTGTAGAATTTGAAGATGCATGAATGGAGGGCAAAAGAGAGAAATGTGTCAAGAGGAAGGCATGTCAAGCCAACCCAGACTGGGACCGCCTTCCACCTGGAAATCAATGCCCTTACTGCAGGAGAACATGCAAATAAAGAATAGGGCTCCATAGTCACCTACGGACTGATCTTGGAAGACTATACTACTCAGACAGCGAGGGATTGCCTAAGTAATATCAGAAGGGCTGTCATGCAGCAGATAGAGTGAGATTGTTTCTGCTCCTGAGGCTAGGATTAGATTACTGTACAAGATGCCAATTAAAAATAAAAAAAAATCCTGCCAGCAAGGGAGGTGTTTGACAGTGGAACAGGCTACCTTAGCAGGTAGTGGGCTTAAGGTTTTTTATTGGAGGTCACCTGCCATTTCCGCAGTCTAGAATTCATGGTGGCCTAAAAAATTAAAAGGGAAACAGATTTTAAAAAGCCTACAGAAAGCAAAAGTCTACAGCAAGCAAAAATTAAAATATATAATTAAACTTAAATTAAAAACAATTAAAAACAAACCATGAACCTCCTATCTGCAAATAAAATAAAGCACATGAGTAGGCCCTTTTCTACTTGATCGACACTTCTCAAATATCTGTTGAAACAGAAAGTTCTTTCCTTGTCTATGAAAGGATAGTAAGGAAGATGTCAACCTGACATTTGTAAGAAGAGCCTTTAGCTATGGAATCCTATACTGCCAGAAGAACTGAAGCAGAAGGTCCTTGTGGTATTCTCTAGAATTCTGTGATTATATGTCCAGTCT